CCCTCCAGGAGATATTTATCAGTACAACAGTAGACAATCATAACAAAACATATGAATTCAAAATTACATACATACATATACATATTTATGTAAAATACTAAAAACAGGAACATGTCTGTGTTGGTTTATGCCATCAATTTAGCAGATGTTTAAAGCTATTTATTCACTTTAATATCCACTTTAAAGATAGGAATAAAAGGATGAAATCAGAATAAAAGGATGAGACAGCCCCTGATTTACTCCTGAGCTAGCTGACCTCCTGCACAGGAGAAACCAGCTTTGGGCCACAGCAAGAAAATCTGGCTCAGACTCTGACTGGTTGAGTTTTCAACAGATGAGGAATAAATGCACAACTTCCATCAAAGCTGCAAAACGTCACTATTTCTTATCAATGTCTGATGCTTCACTGGACTTTTTTTTTTTTTTATCGTTTTCAACCAGACTGTCATACCTGCCTCCTAATAAGTAGATTAACACAATGTTATATTGTGCATTCTTATTTAGTTATCTTTGTGCTGTATGATTCGTAAAACCGTATCAAAAGCCCAAGACCGACCCGGCCCGCCCATCAAGCACATTATTTTGGCCTGAATTTTGGGTCGGGCCGCATTAGAAATCGCAGCTCTACATAAGCATAACTGAAGGTTATACTTGAGCTTTAGTGACACCTAATGCTAAAGTTGCAGATTGCAACAAACTGAATATGGTCCATCCACACTGGGTTTCATTTCAAAATTCACATTACAACAGTAAATTGTGGCTGAGAATGCTGACTTTATAAAAAAAAAGTCTTTCAAAATTTACAAACTAAAAGTCCCAAAATAACAAACACATTTTAATATTTTTCTGTATTTCAACACAATCAAAAAAGCATACTTTTGTTACTGTCCCAGTGTTTTCAGAACCTTCACAATGATGAAGGCAAAAAAGAGAGAGTTTGTTTTGTTAAAATACAATCTAGTTTTATTGGTCTTTTATTGCCCCATGAAATACAAAGAGAAACATACATATACAACGGAATAAATGCAGAATTCCAGAGCAACACAGCACATTTGAGGAAACAAGGGTTTCAGAAATTGTTTCAAATTACAAATACAGTACAATATAACTTATAATGTCTAGCTCTTTTGAAGGAAATAGGGGTAAAATAACCACAAGTTTCAGAACATACCTAAATAAACAACATAACAAAAAACTTAAATGGCTTTTATTTCATATTTAAACAGGTAGCATGACTGATTGTCAAGTTTAGTTTTCCTAACCATCATTAAGTCATAAACAGACAAAAATAAGATAAACATTCCTCATTTCAAATGTTTGTTTTTGCAATTTTTATAATTGCTTTTACATAATTATATTTTCTACTAAAGCTCATTTCCTGTTGAGGTCAGTTCATTTGACTACAAAACAGACACAGAATAATCAGTTTGTCACAAGTTATACATATTTATTAATTAAACCAACAAATGCTCTGCCGATTCTAAATGTCAGGAGCCGTATCTATTATTTCATAAATAGAGCTGCACACTATTTTAGTACCTGCATTGTTAAAGTATACTCCTCAAAGAGGAAAAAAGTGGTCAAAAAGGCGACAACAGCGCCGAGGATGAGGGAGACAGACACTTTAGCAGCACTCGTGACGCCACAGTTAGAACAGAGGAATTGCATAGAGCAGCATCATCTTTCATCTGTTTTCCTACCGAGACTGCTATTGTTCTGTTCAATAGCTCCTGCTCAAACCTGAAGGCCTCCTTGATACCTTGGCTCCGGTCTGAGACCGAAGAAATAACTGATTTTGTGCTGTTTCTTTAGTCTTGCAGGTAAATTCTAGATGAAAATGAAAACAGATGCAATTTTATTTTTAATTCTAAACTTGTTAATGTATACAAACTTGTATATTTATACAAAAAATGTAATGTCTAGCATCCTTCCTGAATTTAATTTGACATAATTTGGATAGAAGTCATTTTGAACATTCAATTTGTTTATCCTAAACTTAATATAATTTACCACTAAACTGTATAAAGTTATGAAACTTGAGTATTTGGGGGAAAAACAGAATGTTATGTCACGTGCTGGTCCATGGCAGCAGGAAGGAGATGATGACGATGACGAGTGAGATGGAGATCGGCAGCAAGAGAAGGAGGGTGACAGAAAGCGAGAGGGACGCCGGCCATAAAGACATCAGTTTGGAGGCCCAGGAAGGTTTGGCTGGACTCTTCTGCCTCTCAACGTTCGGCCCACTGATGACCAGCGGCCTGACCTGCGATACGCTCTCCTGAAACAGAGAAAACAACATGGAAGGAAAAGTACTGCTGTAAAAAAGTTTTTTTAGAGACTTTTCCATGCTCAAGCTTTAATAATTCTTGTTTTTTCCCCATTATTACCTCCACCAAGGAAGTTGTGTTTTTGGTCACACTGGTTTGTCTGTCTGTGAACAAGATTACTCAAACAGTTATGAATGGCCATATCAGACTCAGCATGGCAAAAGGTCATTCAGAACATTTATTCATCCTCAACCTGTCTGAGCCATGCTGTAACTCAATTGAAGGCGGTGCACCGTCTGCATTGGTCCAAAGACAAACTGTCCAAGATCAAAACTGACCTGGATCCTGTACTTGATGCATACCCCTGCGAGAAACTGGTTCTGACTGGCGCCAATACGCAACATGTGGTCACAGTGAACTTGTACCACTGTTTTTAAAAGGTGGTCACAGTGGTGGTAACTCAGAGAGCTTCACTGTTTCTGAGGCAGTACTCATTATTAAATTCTGGTTTCACTGGTTTAGATGAATAAAATTAGATCCTACAATGCAGTTGGATTTAAGAAGAAAGTTGATGTATGTAAGAATTTTGGACAGTAGCTTCAAAATGTCTTCAGAATATTTTTTGTTTACTTGTTGTTACTTACCTCCAGTATGGTCCTGCTTTGTGCTCTGTCAGGACTGAGCCGAAGATTCCAGCGGTGGGACCTGTGGCTCCGCCCACCATCATCTTCACTCTCTGTGGTGTCTTGACGTGCCACTCGGGGGCGCTTGCGTCTCCGTGAGCTGATTCGCTGAAGAGAATTGGGCTCCTGGAGCCTGATCCAATGAAGAACAAACTCAGACAGTGGAAAAAAAAGAAACCACTACAAGCCAAGCAAAGTGTGTGAACAAGTGAATCCACCTTATTCCTGGGGGCTCTACTGTATAAATGATTATTATGAGTTATGGGTACAACTTCCTGTCAGACACAGGAAGTAAACATTGGTTAACTATGGTAGTGGAGCATGGACCGCAGTTTATTTGAAAGTAATTTGCATTCAGTTTAGCATATAAAACTCTCTTTTTGTTTTGTAAATTTATTTAACAACCATAAAGTTTACTAAAATAGCCGTACTGAGTTCAGACACCTGTTGCGTTCACGGCTGCACGAACAACCAGACCAAACTAAATCAGTGGCTACAACAACAGAGTTTTGAACATGGACCCAAAACAAAAAGAGTGTTCCTGTGAAAATACGTATAGTTTCCATCTCCTACCTACAGATGAGGAATTAAGAAGAATGTGGCTGAAAAATGGGAACTTGAAGAAAAATCTGAGCTTGAAGAGACTACACAAACGTGTACTCATTTCACTTTGGTAACAAACGGCCAACAGAGGAAAACCTGCATCCTACTTTAGGACTGAGCTACAATAAACCACCGGAGAAGAGACGCTGGATCCTCAGAAGGATTGAAAATAGTGTGACGAGAATATCAGGTATGACTTCAGGTGTATGGAGGGTACAGCATTATAGTATTTGTTCATCTTCAGTATTATGATTTCTCTGCAATGAACCCAAGCTCAGTGATGGAGGACTTTAAAACTTTGGCTGGGTTCTATGTCTGCTTTATGGAGAATAAGATTGTGTCCCGCATCTCTTTTTTGCCAAAATATCTAATGAAATTTTTAGCAGTTTAAACAAACACAGCTCAAACATGTAGAAAAACAGTCATAGTATTACTTGGGTGCTGTGTTCAAACCAAATTAAAATAACAACAAATGTTTTAATTTCCACCTCTTTATTCCAAAATTTGACTGGCATAGCAACTTGCACAAAAACAGGTTGCTACTTGACTATTCTGTCAGTAAAAATATTGAATAATGAAAAATAAAAGATTGTCAAATAGCTTCAATAAAAAACTAATGTACACAAAAAAAAATATATGCAAATATATACTTTATACCTGCACAATATGTAGCTACTTTGTAAAATGTGTCCTTGAAGGAAGAGTGTAACCTGGATTAAAAGTGTGGATCATTGTAGTGAAGCCTATCTAAAAAAGTTTAGTCTGGTCCTCAGCTGGTCAAGTGCTCCCACACTTTGTAGGACTTGGGTCGAACAGTTTTCTCTGCGTCTGGCATGTGTAAAATTTACTTAATTTCCTTTGAAAACAGCCTCTGCTCTGCTTCCGCCTCCCCCCTCCCTCTGTTCAACTCGCTCTGCAGAATTGATTTTTTTTTCAAACTTTATTCAGTCAGCCAGCATTGACAATGCTCTGCAGGTGAACAAAATGGCTCCGCAGCACCGTGAAAGATGCATAATCATGTGACACAATGAATTGATAATCAAATTCGTTGCATACACTTTTAAAATTCAATTTGTCGATTTTTGTCGATTTTTATCGATTTTTATCGATTTTATCGATTCATTGTTGCAGCCCTAGTTCAATTTTAGTGTTGTCGTGTTTTTTCTGGGTACAGTCCAATAAAAAGAACTTTGGATCCAATATTATTTGTTTGGAGATGATGTGTCCCACCTCTATTAAAAGTAGATACTAATACACCTCAGAGCATTACAGGTTGTTCATCGCTTTACTGTTGGAAGCAACAGAGTCAATTAAGTAGCTAAATACGCTAGTATAAGTAGCTAAATATGCTAGCAGATGTAAATAAATATGCTAGTACAAGTAGCTAAATTTGCTAGTAGATGTAGCCAAATATGCTAGTAAATGTAGCTAAATATGCTAGCAGATGTAGCTAAATATGCTAGTATAAGTAGCTAAATATGCTAGCAGATGTAGCTAAATATGCTAGTAGATGGAGCTAAATATGCTAGTACAAGTAGCTAAATTTGCTAGTAGATGTAGCTAAATATGCTAACATAAGTAGCAAATTTTGCTTGTAGATGGAGCTAAATATGCTAGTATAAGTAGCTAAATTTGCTAGTAGATGTAGCTAAATGTTAGCAGATGTAGCTAAATATGCTAGCAGATGTAGCTAAATATGCTAGTAGATATAGCTAAATATGCTAGTATAAGTAGCTAAATATGCTAGTAGATGTAGCTAAATATGCTAGTTGATGTAGCTAAATATGCTAGTATAAGTAGCTAAATATGTTAGTATAAGTAGCTAAATATGCTAGTAGATGTAGCTAAATGTGCTAGCATAAGTAGCTAAATATGCTAGTAGATGTAGCTAAATATGCCAGTACAAATAGCTAAATGTGCTAGTATAGTAACTAAATATGCTAGTAGATGTAGCTAAATGTGATAGTATAAGTAGCTAAATATGCTAGTACATATAGCTAAATAAGCTAGTAGATGTAGCTAAATGTGCTAGTATAAGTAGCTAAATATGCTAGCAGATGTAGCTAAATATGCTAGTAGATGGAGCTAAATATGCTAGTATAAGTAGCTAAATTTGCTAGTAGATGTAGCTAAATATGTTAGCAGATGTAGCTAAATATGCTAGTACAAGTAGCTAAATTTGCTAGTAGATGTAGCTAAATATGCTAACATAAGTAGCAAAATTTGCTAGTAGATGTAGCTAAATATGCTAGTTTAAGTAGCTAAATTTGCTAGTAGATGTAGCTAAATATGTTAGCAGATGTAGCTAAATATGCTAGCAGATGTAGCTAAATATGCTAGTAGATATAGCTAAATATGCTAGTATAAGTAGCTAAATATGCTAGTAGATGTAGCTAAATATGCTAGTTGATGTAGCTAAATATGCTAGTATAAGTAGCTAAATATGTTAGTATAAGTAGCTAAATATGCTAGTAGATGTAGCTAAATGTGCTAGCATAAGTAGCTAAATATGCTAGTACATATATCTAAATATGCTAGTAGATGTAGCTAAATGTGCTAGTATAAGTAGCTAAATATGCTAGTAGATGTAATCTGCAGCCACTTCTTCAGGTCGTTCATCCCTTGTCCTCAGTAGGCTGCGGTATGATTATATTGTCCTGTTTGAGCTCTTACAGGTGGTGTTCCTACACATTTAAATTAAATCTACAATGCTTGGAGAAACTACATTAGCTCGTACTGTTCACGCATAAACAAATGCCGGTTCCAGTCCATACCGGAAGTCATGCCCATAATTATCGCAAGGCACCATGGGGGGCAGTAATAAGGTGGATAAGTGTGTGTATGCTCATCATACCTGCAGTCAGTGTCCTCTATATCAGCATCTGCATCACTGTCTCCCTGTGGGTCTGATAATAAACAGTCCTCCTGCAACAGGCAGAAACATAAAAACACATCATTTATAAAATATGAAGCTTTATTTTTGTCCAACACAAACCCAAGTGAATCATCACCATTAGTGAAACAAAAACAGCAGCTGGTGCTGGCATTTCTCTGAGTGACTGTGTTCATGTGTTACTTTTTATTATGTCACTGTCATTAATATGCATGAATCAGCTGATGCCTCTATCCATAGCATGACCAATAAGCTCAGCGCTTATATAAATAGTGTCCTATTTATATCGGAGAGGTATTGATTCTCTCAAATTACTGAAACACGTGAGTGAAAAGTTCAATTATTCCTGCAAATTAGAAGTTATAAAAGGAATTTGATTAACAACATGAGATGTTTAAAATCTGTTTGAGAACACAAATACAGGATTAGTGAGTTCATAATAGTATAGCAGTGGGTAATTTGCATCAATAGCAGTCTCAGGTCAAAACTCACCTTGGATTTTGTTGTAGTTATGTTAGATTAAAATAAAAGAAGCTGTAAAAATACATGTTATGACTAAAATAAAAATATATCAAACTTGATAAACTCAAAATTAGGATTATCAAATAATATATACATACAATTGTCTCTCATTAAATGCCACATTGTAGCAACTTTTGCTATCTAACCTATTAAAACTGCAATGCCTTGTTTTAAAATACCTTCTGTATATTGACATTTTGATGTCATTGTGTGTAAAATGAGGACATTTGTTCTGAAAAAGTACGAACAGAGAAAATTTGTTTTTACAATAGCTTATAGGAATGAGAAGATTAATTGATTCACAGATGCAACAATGCGACTCCATCCGTAGAGCAGATGTGTACCAATCCAGATTTTTGAACTAAACCTAAATCCATCTGTCCAATACATCTTTATATTAATACAACTCATCCACCCATCCATTTTCTTTACCCACTTCTCCTTTGCAATTCGCAAAGGAGCTGGTGCCCATTTCCAGCAGTCACTGTGCAAGAGGCGAGGTACACCCTGAGCAGGTCTTCAAGAGATTGGTTTCTACAGGCATTCATTTTAAAAGAAAGAGCAGAAAAGCTAAAAAAAATTATATATAAGTGTGGTTACATTTATGGACGAATATGAATCTGATGTATTCACTTCTTTTTCGCATTAAAAGCTCTGCAGAAAGTGGTGAATGCTGCACAGAAGTCTGTTGGAGTCAGCCTCCCCACCATCACAGACATCTACACCTCTAGATGAATGAAGAGGGTCACCTGCATCATGAAGGACCCCACTCACCCAGCACACACTTTTTGTCCCACTCCCCTCAGGCAGGAGGTTGAGGAGCATTAAGTGTCAAACCACTAGACTGAGGAACAGCTTCTACCCTGAGGCTGTTAGACTCATGAATCTCTAACCAGAATAATCACTGTAATGCCATTTTAATTGGTGATATGTGACTTATCTGTGCTGCTTATATCCTACCAATAAGCTGCTGTATTCATACCCTTCTGCTCACAACAGACTCATGTTCAGGCTGCTGTTTAATGCACCGCATTATATTACATTATTGTTGTTTAGCGTATATCTTAGATCTTTGTATACTGTTTGTTTTTTTATATACTTTATATTTTTGCTATTTTGGGGTGTAACTGTGACCCTATGTACATAATTTCGTTCCACCTCATGTATCGCATGTGATGTGAGTGACGATAAAGTCACCTTGAACTAGGCCTGACGCAATAAACAATAAATCAATTAATCGCACGATAAATGAACATGATCAACCTCATTTTCATGGGCTTTATCGTTTCTTTGTGTCTCTCGCTTTCTACTGAAGACACTGGATGACAAAAGGCTCAACTCTGGTGTTCTTCACTGACCCTTCCCTTTCTCTTTTTTCTCTTTAAAATCTGTTTTAACCGCCCAAAATCATGTTTTTGGTCGTTAAAAGCAGCTAAGCTAAGAAGGTAAGCTACGAGCTAAGCTAACAGGCCTATCTCAGGGAAAAAAAACTCTGTCTTGTCGAAGCTCCAAAATTCACGGTTGAAACACATTCCATTAGTATCAAAAGTTGTTTTTCTCGGCAAAAAGAAGCTGAGAACTTGTTTACTGATTTTTTTTAATTAAAAGTTTTAAAGTGTGAAAAATGCTATGCTAAAGAGCTCAAATCACACTGAGCGCCTGCCCTTTTGAGAACTGAAAAACAGGAGAGACAGCCCATGTCACGTCAAGGGGCCATTTTTCATAAAGAGACACACTGCTCGCTCCCTCACTATCTATCTTTTGGTTCAAACAGTCTTATACTGCCATCCAGTGGTCAAAAAAGGTATTACATGCAAAATAAACGCCAACATTTCTTCTTAAATTTGACAATAATTACAAAATAATTATTGTCAAATTTCAAACAATATTATCGTTTATGGCAATAATTTCTGAGACAATTATTCACCCAGAAAAATTTGTTATCGTGACAGGCCTACCTTTAACCTTGATTAGGAACACGTGATGTTCAGGGTTAGAACTGCAGCAGCATTCGTAGAAACAGCAACAAACACTAAACCCTGATCAGGCAGATTAGCTCTTATGTTAGAAAGAAAAAGTTACCTTATTATTTATAATTTAGAAAAGACATTTGCTGGTAAGTTACTGAAAGGGTGGTAAACACATCAGCTGCTGGCAGTATGCTGACTTTCCACGACGTCTCCATTTTTGTGTGTATTGTTGTTTGGTGAAAAAAGGTTAATGAAATTGTTTTGTCATCTTAAATGCTGGCCTCTTCATGATCCATATTTTTAAATTATGGGGTAAATGATTAGTCTCAATAAATGACGTAATAATTCCTTTGCTTCGTTTTATTATGTTACACTGAATCTCACTATGCTGACTAGAAAACTCATTGAATTCAATCATATCAAGATCAAGGGTTGAATTTTATTGTACAGTATTGATGCTAGTGAATCAGATCATTGGCAGTATATCCAGGTTTGTATGAGCCACTGACCAGTGATGACCCCCCACCCACACACACACAGTTTATACATTATGCCAAGAAACAATTTGTTTTGTAAAGCTGGCTCTGATTAATGTTGCAAGATGTCTGAATTTGAAACAGATTTACAAAATCTGTCCATCATAATGAAGACCTGTTTCTCTTCTACACACATGTGACTAAAGAACAGTTGTTCTGACTAATCAGTGTCCTGTACTGACTGATTTTGGCTGGTTTCAAATGTGTTGACAAAAAAAAAAAAAGGAAATGGTTAAAAAAAAAAAAGAGTGTGGCATAGACAGAGCTACACCATCGGTTTTATCTGAACTGAAAACAAGAGTCGCAGATGTACCACATTATATGCCATCAACAAACTATTATACAGCCATCTATAGCCATGGCCCAGACAAGAAAATAAATTGTGCACATTTTGACCTTGATTTGTGACCTTGACCTTAGAGCTCGGATGATGAAATGATTATACAGCACTCCATCTAGTGATGAAGAAAATGTGCATGCAATTTCATTAAATTGTCTTGAACAAACCAAAAGTCACAGTTTGCAGATGTATGAATGTAGACTATATAATGCGTGTCTTTCGACAGGTGTATAAAAAATTGATAAAAAGTGAGGAAATAAGTAAAAGAGGCTTACTCTATTTTTCCACCTGGCTCAAGAAGTAGCTTCGTCTACTGAATGTTAAAAGTAATTGTTGCCAACAAACTTAAAATTGGAGTTTTACCAACAAGAATGATAAGAGTAGCGATGACGGATTCAGACTTCGTAACTGATTCAAACAAAAACTAAATATGAGACTTACCCATAAAACAATCGGTCTTTACCAGTATTTGGCATCACTATTTTCTGAAATTCAATTGTCAGAACAATGACAACTAGTTTAAGGAGCTAATATTTTTAGGAGTGCACTGCAGTGCCACTTTGTTGGACCCATTCTGCAACCATTAATTTATGTAAATTATTACCAGGCCAGAGGTACAGTATGTGTGTGACTTTATAAACTGGCTAGAATGCTGAAAAGTTACATTACTTTGGTAGAGTAAATGAGTCCTCGAGGCTTAATGGGATTTACCTGTCTAAATAAAGGTTGAATGAATGAAAAAAAAAGAGGAATAACATAAAAGGACCACTTCAGATACAATAGTTTTACACCACCCTTGGTCTCAAAACTAATTGTTTATTTAAACCACATAACCCCACCCCTATGTTTTTATTAATATTATCAATCCTTTATTTTACCAGGACAAACACGCTTGAGATTAAAAAAAAGCATTTACAAGTGTGACCTAGCCCAACTAACTTTAACAATAATAACTTTTAACATTGTTAAAATAATAAATTGAAAAAAATAATAATAATAACAAGTAACATTTAAATAAAATAAACATTTTAAACAACACCAGCAGATGACATGGCACCCCAGACCATCACTGACTGGAAACTTGACACTAGACGGGAAAAACATTGATTCTGTGCCTCTCCTCTCTTTCTCCAGACTCTGGGACCTTGATTTCCAAAGGAAATGCAAAATTTACTTGACTCAAAGAACATAACTTTGGACATGTCATCTGCTGGTGTTGGTCCACTGTGTTTTCTGAGGTCCAAGGTCAACGCAGCATCTACCAGGAAGTTTTAGAGCACTTTATGCTTCCTGCTGCTGACCAACTTTATGGAGAGGCAGATTTCATTTTCCAACAGGACTTGGCACCTGCACACAGTGTCAAAGCTACCAGTACCTGGTTCAAGGACCCTAGTATCCCTGTTCTTAATTGGCCATCAAACTCGCCTGACCTTAACCCCATAGACAATCTATGATGTATTGTGAAGAGGAAGATGTGATAAGTCAGACCCAACAATTCAGAAGAGCTGAAGGCCACTATAACCTGGGCTCTCATAACACCTGAGCAGTGCCAGATACTGATAGACTCCATGCCACGCTGCATTGCTGCAGTAATCCAGGCAAAAGGAGCCCCAACTAAGTACTGAGTGATGTACATGCTCATACTTTTCATGTTCATACTTTTCAGTTGGCCAACTTTTCTAAAAATCTTTTTTTTTATTGGCCTTAAGTAATATTCTAATTATCTGAGATACTGAATTTGGGGTTTTCATTAGTTGTCAGTTATGATCATCAACATTAAAAGAAATAAACATTTGAAATATATCAGTCTGTGTGTAATGAATGAATATCAGAATTAGAATAAGCTTTATTATCATTGCACCGAGATACAACGAGAACATGTACGTACAATCATCCGGAAGATGGACGTAGTGCACGAAGCTGCTGCTATAAACGTGGCCTTTCTTATCCTTTTTCAGAATAATATTCTTAGATAGAAAATGGGGGAGAGTCATGAGGATAGATAGTGGTATTACAAAAAAGATCTTTCACATCTTGTCTATCAGGACACGATTTGAGACATAAAAAAAAAACCTACCAGCAAGCACAATTAAAACATGACTACATATGCATTTGACGTCAAGGTGTTGAGATTTGTCCATGAGCGATAGATGAAGCTTTTATCCTTGGTTACCCATGATCAAGGAGAAATTTGATAGTCGGCCCGTCTCGGAGGCCAACGGAGAGTCAGATTCAGATAAGCTTCGATTGTTGATTTACTTCAGGCAGACAGATTTTTTTCTTCAGCCTTGAGTCCTTCTGGATGTTCTGGTTCCAAAATGGGCTGATAGTGGGAATCCATTCCACTGATCCATGTTATGAGCCTTCTTCAAAGTCGCTCCCACCACACTGACGAGTCCCAGAAGCCACAGGTGTCCTGCAATTCTTATAAATTGCCTCCATCTTACGGCTTAGCTCGTAAATCAGCTGATTTTGAGTACTCACAGCATGAACCAAACTTTCACACTGACTCGGAAGCTTTGTCATGGCCAAAATTTCTGCCGAAGTCTTTTTCAATAGTCAATAAAACAGCCCCGCTGATGCCAAAAAGCAGACTCCCTGCTATCCATCCATCCATTATCTTTACCCGCTTATTCCATTTTGGGTCACGGGGGTCGCTGGTGCCCATGTCCAGCAATCACTGTGCGAGGGGCGGGGTACACCCTGGACGGGTCGCAAGTCCATCACAGGGCCACAGAGACACACGAGACAAACAACCATTCACTCTCTCACTCACACCTAGGGACAATTTAGAGTTCCCAATCAGTCTAACATGCATGTTTTTGGTCTGTGGGAGGAAACCGGAGCACCCGGAGAAAACCCACGCATGCACGGAGAGAACATGCAAACTCCACCCAGAAAGGCCCCTGGACCAGGGTACTCCCTGCTATCATAAATCCAAATATGTAAAAGTCTTCAGCATCCTCCTGAGACAGGACTGAGAGGCACATTAGCTGCCACACTTCCCATGGATCCATGACGTACCCCACAGCGTGCATCTCAGCTGGACAAGTGGGTTCTCCAGGATCTTGTTGTTTTGTTGAAAAAAATCTTGTTGAAAGCATTGAACGTCCAGGTTACCAGATCCATAATCTTAATTTACGTTCAGGAGATGTGTACCAGGCACTTCAGACACACAGAGAGCGAAGCAGGAGGAAGGAAAAAAACGGGAGAAAGAAAACAAGCAGCCACCTTGAGCAAGAGCCAGAGGGAAAAAATATATATAAAATATATCTTTTACCCACTTCTTCCATTTTGGGTCACGAGGGTCGCTGGTGCCCATATCCAGCAATCACAGTGCGAGGGGCGGGGTACACCCTGGACAGGTCTCCAGTCTATCACAGGGACACAAAGAGACAAACAACCATTCACTCACTCATTCACACCTAGGGACAATTTAGAGTTACTAACCAGCCTAACATGCATGTTTTTGTCTGTGGGAGGAAACCGGAGCACCCGGAGAAAACCCACACATGCACGGAGAGAACATGCAAACTCCACCCAGAAAGGCCCCCAGACCAGGATTTTGAACCGGTAACCTTCTCACTGAGAGGCAGCAGCTCTACCAGATGCGCCACCGTGCATCTGTGTCCGTAAAATGAATGGGTAAGAACTGAAGACATATCAACACTTTGAAGCAATGTCACATTTTGTATTGGAATGTTTTCACTTCTACATTGAATTAAGGACCAGGGAGGGTAGAGGTTGGGGTAACTGTAGAAAGTTAGATTTGGCTTTAGTCGTGTATGCCGCATGTTCTTGAATCTTGAAAACTTTGAGAACGTTGGTCTTATAGGTCTTACAAGATCTATAGATTCCAGTACATGCAGCACTGCAAAAGCTTTAAAACGTGAATTAGGTGAGGGAATACAGAGAAAAAGCCAATAAGGGAACAGTACCTCCGTGCCATATCCCTCAGAGTACCGGGTTAACATGACTCGGTTTTTTCCACAGTGTTCACACAGCAGCGTGTCCTGACAACAGAAAGCAAGAGGACAGCAGAGAGTCAGTGACTGGTCTTGACAACAAACACACGACCTGACAGGTCCTTTAAAACATGTATGGTAAGGAATCAGCGGCAGCAACAGACACACGGTAAGGTCAGCAGGAAGCTAAAGGCGTGTGTTTACAGCACGACTGCAGCTGAGGAAACCTCTGAGGAGGTTGCGTGGCAGACACAGACACTTAAGTAGGAATGAGCGCCCAGCAGCGTAGGTGTGTGTGCTCCTGAATAAAGTGCACAGGGACCAGCCTCACACAGACACACTCTAGCTACCTCCTCACAACTCGCCCCCATCTGAGACGGAGACAAAGACATAGAGGATGAACTGCTGACTTTTAAAAGCCTCTTATCCCTTTTACTGTGTGCCTGCAGCATATTAACAGAGGTGATGAAAGAAGTTCTTACAGATTGTTTTCCAAAAGTTTGAATATCGTGCGTCTCTTAATGCATCAGTGATGTAACCTTTTCCACCTACTTGGATTTTCAAGTGCTCAGAAGTGGAGGCTGATTAGACTGCCATTCTAGACACTGGCGTTATGCAGGCTTTAAAAGCCACGCAATTAACGGGGTATTCCAGACATTTTGAAGCGAGGTTATGAGGAAAAACTAGGAATAATATTACGCATTGTAAATAGCTTTTCAAACATCTGCAGCATGTGTTTCTGCTGACTGTTACATGACTGTTACATTTGACAAGCTTCGGGTTGTAGATTAGGTTAGAGGTGAAGCTATGACATGATTTTCAAAAAGTTGTAATTTGGCTGTCTGCACAAAAACGCAAGGGTGATAATGATCTTTTTATGAGCAAGACTAAAATTGGGCAACAGGTCTTAAATAGATTCATAGCTATTTACGGTGATCAAGGTCGGCGTTCAACTCTAGTCTTTTGGTCCCTTTACACCAGTGGTTCTCAAAATGGGGTACCTGGACCCCCAGAGGTCTATGAGCCGGTGCTTGGAGGTCCGCAAAATAAAATAAAAAATAAAAAAATTATTAGCACGCAGATGTTTAACAACCTGTTAAAATACACCAAAATTCAGGAAATCACATCTACTTTATTTAAAAGACACCCCGCCCGCTATTTGTGTTCCGGCATTGATGAGTTCACAAATGAAGCCCTGTTACTTGGTCTGACTACTGCTGTTATAATTCTGTTCAGTTTTATGTAAAGAGTTTTCTGTAATAATTTGAAGAAGTTTAATACATTTATTATATTCATTATGTGATAGGTAAAGTTTTAAAGTGATTTTTTAATACTGTTAATTTTCTCAAAACTGTAACTTTTGGAAGTTGAAATAAAAAATGTTGTTAATTAAGTGTGTCTTGAATGAAAAATACCCCATATTTAAAATTATAAAAAATTGTATTAACACTATTAAAGAACAGGTCATAAGTATTTATGTTAGACAAATATTTCCATTGCATTAAAGAAACAAATTGAAAACCATTATTTAACAAACATGAGGGTTTTGAGGGAGTCCCTGAAACTTTTTCTCCCCATAAGGGGTCCCTGAATCCAAAAAGTTTGAGAAGCCCTGTGCTACACCTTTGTTGCTATTGATTTTTACATACAAATATCTTTATAAATTAGTTAATTGATATTTTATGTTGTGAGAACAAAATGTCCTCAATGCTGCCAGATGTCAGAATGACAGCAGAGCACATCTGGAATACAGGTAGATAAGAACACCATTTAGACTAAGTGTATTTCAAAGAAATGGAAGTAAGCATGAATATATCTAGACCACAATGCATTGCAAAATACTGACTTTGAGCAACTGTAGTAACTGTAGAAAGGTCTACTGTATTTCAAGACTATTTTTTTACTCTGAAACCAGATTGTATTTTTAAAAAAATGTTAAGACTTGTAAGACAGCATTTCTATGTGAGAGGTTTTAAGACAAAATAAAATAAAAAACTTTGCATTACAAAACACACTTCCCACAAATCCTGACAAAGTAAAGGCTAGTTTAAACAGGACTGAGACCAAAGTGAGTTACTGCTGTCTCCAAATAATTAAAATTTCACAACAGTTCATGCAAGCAATATTCTTTAAACTTGTATTATTCTGGTTATTTCATCAGATATATTACATTTCTGCTGGAATTGACCCAGGCTGCACCAGAAGTGCTACAGCTAGCTGCTGCTATTTGTACTTCAAAATAACCACAAAAATATATGTAAACAATCATGTAAAGTCAACTATACAACTAGTTTATTTAAAAAGTAATTTGCATAATCTGCTGTAAAGTATTTGAAAACTGGACAAGTTTAAAGTTGACTGCAATACACTTTGATTCTGGCTGTGCTAACATTAGCTGTTAGCTAGTCATGATTTAGGGTCGTCCACACGGGAAAGGTTTTTGGGAATACGCAAATATATCAGTGTACCGTTACACAAGGAGGGCGCCCCGCCCTGTCAACAGAACCGAGCGCCCCTCCTACTGAAATGTCCTTCACCGTTCACCCACAAGTCCCCCCCGTCGACAACTGCCAGTACGTAGCGCTAAGCTAGCAGTGCACAATATAGACACACTAGCTAAAAAGCTACTGATGGAGCGCTCTGCAGCCCCCCTTCCCCTCCCCGTCCAAAAAAAATCCTCAGAGATGAGCACAATGCCTAGGCAAGTGACCTAGGGGAAACACTGCATCTTTGTAATAATTTCAGCCTTCCACACATAAAAATACACTGCAGGAGCCTCAAAATTATAATTTTTCAAAATGGGTTGCATAGTTACATAAATCTTGAAATGCCACCCTCACATTTTCCTTCCATGTAAATGAGCAGGACCCCGGAACAGGACATGAACAGGACATCATGTTTGGTTGAGGATCAGAACCCAAATGCAAAAAACAAAAAACTCAGGACTCGAAGGTAAAACGAGACAAACGTATTTATTAACAAAACATAAGTCTGACGAGGCAGCATGAAAACTTAAAAATGAAAACTCCAGGAAATACTCACATGAAAACTTGAAAGGGAAAACCAGCATGAACAGCATGAAAGCACAATGCACAGACAAGAGACAAACAAACTGACAGAGTACTTAAAGAGACGAGGGGAAACAAACACCTGCGCTGATCACTGATTAGAGACAGGTGGCAGGCTGACAATGAAATGACACCAAAAAACAAGACACAAGCAGAACACAGACCGTGACACTACCCTAAAACAAATAAAAATAGTGTTGACTAGGCCTGTCACGATAAACAATAAATCAATTAATCACATGATGAATGAAAATTATCAACCTCATTTTCATTTACCAACTTTATCGTGTCTATCTCTTTCTACTGAAGACACGGCTCAACTCCGGTGCTCTTCACTGACCCCTCCCTTTCTCTTTTCTCTTCAAAATCCATTTAACCATCCAAAATCACGATTTTGGATGGTTAAAAGCAGCTAAGCTGAGAAGCTAAGCTAGGAGCTAAGCTAACAGGCCAACCTCGGGAATAAACGTCCGTCTTGTCGAAGCTCCAAAATTCACGGTTGAAACCCGTGCCTTTGTGTAATAAGTTGTTTTTCTTTGCAAAAAAAAAAAAAAAAAGATGAGAACTTGTTTACTGATTTTTTTATTAAAAGCTTTGTGTAAAAATTAAAATGCTATGCTAAAGAGCGCAAAATACCAAGCGACGCCATGTCACCATGACAGCCCATGTCACGTCAAGGGCTCTCCCTCCCATTTTTCTCAAAGAGATGCTGCTCAACTATCCATCCTTTGGCTCAAACAGTCTTATACTGCCATAAGGTGGTCAAAAAAGGTACTACACTCCAAACAAAACATTTCTTCTAAAATTTCACAATTAATTATTGTCAAATTTCAAACAATATTATCGTTTATCGCAATAATTTCAGAGACAATTAATCGCCCAGCAAAATTTGTTATCATGACAGGCCTAGTGTTGTCCGTTAATTCACTGCTGATGTGCGTTCAAACTTTAATATATTCAACAAAATTTTAACTTTTGCAGTCTAAAAGAAAGGTCATATGACTCTATGATTGTGTGCAGGGAGTAGGTGGGACTTAAAGCTTCACATTTTTGGAAAACCTCCCCATGGAGGTGTCCAGGTGTCATCTGTACCAAATGCCCCACCACGTGGAGGAGCAGCGGCTCTACTGCAATTCTTATGAATAACTGAACTTCTCAATCCATCTCTAAAATTAAGGACGCACAATATTGGATTTTTGGCCAATATCTGATATGCCAACACCTATTAAATTATTTGGCCAATAACCAATACCAATACTGATATTTTTCCCCCTAGGCATACTTACAGAGACTACATAGCTTTCTCTGCTGTGGAATTTAAATACTACATTATTCTGCATGGTCTTTGTCAGTTTGGCCTGCTACCAAATGCAGATGCCAAAAAAAAGGGTTCTGAAAATGATGCAACACTTCAAATTGGCTTACCGGTACATTTAATGTCACATGTATGTATGACATTTACTCTCTCTAATGACAACACTCAAAGAGTCATAAAAAATAGTGCCTTATATATAGGAATAATAATAATAATAATGTGTTATGTCATTATATATGTTCTCATACAATGGCAAAAATGACTATGTATATATATATATAT